CAGCACATTGCTGCAGCTTATAACATCGGAGCTACAACGTACAACGTCGGGCGCTTTTCAATCTGCCAGGAATCAATAATGTTGCACTACAAGCCACACGAAAATGATGCCCTTTGCACCATTACAGTCACGTCACTTTCATCTCCAACCTGTTTCATCTTCTCCGAGTTCATTTAAAAACCCTCGCTCTAAGACTGCTATAATAAGGGTGCTTCTAGCAGGTTATACTGTTGCTATGGTAACCTATTGTGACACGAAAACGATAACAAGGTGTTCACCAATGATTGGGTAGTTTGTTTTGATACCAAGATTGTAGCATCAAGTGATAAAGAGTGGTTATAATGACCCATCAAAATCTAAGTCTTGGAAAGTGATGGAGACTGTTTTGAGCCACCTTAAAGATTTGCCACTACTCGGCTCAATAGTTTCTTGTGCGTCAACAATGACCAGACATGATTAAAATTCCAAAATAAAACAGCTCGCAATATATTACTTTATTGCTGCAAACATTCAACAGGTCATTCAAAGCTGAGAAGAGTGCTACTTTAGGTTCTATCTATAACTATTGGAGGAATTTCTGACTGCAGTGTGTTCGTAGCTTCAAATAACACATTTCTATTTAGTATTATCTCACTTTCAACGAAGAACAAAAAGAATGACAAATTAACAAACTGAAGCTTCACGTTCAGTCGAGAACGCTATATCGATATTACTATTTTATTTACCTTAACTCTAATACAAAGATAAATGCATAAGAAAAGCCATTCTTTACAGATTTCCTTAAAGGGTATCGACTGCAAATCCAGAAGCGCATCTTNATTTTGACCTGTTCCTTTACAGGGTGCTGTAATCTTCAAGACTTGTAAGATGCCAAATAGAAATCAAACACCAAACCCTGTCAACCTGCTCCTCAGCCAGGCCTTTGACAAAGTGGACACCAATACAAAAATCATTTATTGGTCCAGGCATATGCATCATGTACAGTCATTTGATCAGCCAGTAAGGGAAACTGCAATACCTTACATCCTTTGAGACAATTTACCTTTTCTTGGTTGATATCAGCCAAGAAGATACTCTTGTCTCTATATTCTTCCTCATTCAATGGGTCATGCCAGTATTCTGCTTGAACAAGGCTGAAATGTAATACAATAATAAAAGCAACAGATTAATCAGGATGACCATTCATGCAGGGTTACTCCTCAATCTAAGGAGTGTTGTTGCGACTTGAAAGACCACTCTAGAAGATCTTCTCACCATTATAATTCTTACCTTGATAACACAAACAAACAAACAAACAAACAAACAACCAAACAAAAAAACAACAAAATAATATGACACTGGCATTACTGCTGAAATGGCAAGGGGAAAATACTCTTTTGCAGCCACAGGTATATAAACCCTGGAAAGAGGTGTCTCAGAAAAGAGGCAAGGTATTTGACTGTAATGACAAAGTGCTAGCCAGATCTGGGAATTTTCTGCTAGTCAGTTTTGAAAATTTATTTCTAATAATTTATTATTATTTCAGCCAGTGAGAGGCACTGAAAAAAAGCTAGTTTCAACCACACCATAAGCAAAGAAGGAAATTTTCTGCAAGCAATGAAAGAAGGAATGATAGCAGATGGAGTTCCAACTATACTGAATGCTAGATGCTATGACTAAAAAAAAAAAACAAAATGCCCGCTTTGTTTGGAGTGTGGGACTATTGCAGGAGAAACCAACAGACCACAGGGTATAACTGCAATATTTGACTACACAAGAGGTACTTACAAGTCTTGAATCCAACTGTTAAAGGACAAGGAAAGAAGGAGACCATCAGGACAAATAAACAAAATATAAAGAAAACTAATTAAAAGTTGAGGAAAAGGTTGTTGTTGTTGTTCATTGTGGTAGATGAAATAATAAAGCACTTGTACTATCGTTTGTCTCATGATGTAGTCACTTGAGATGTAGATCGCCAAGCCACATGATCAGTCAACCTCATCGCTTGAAGAACACTAGCAGTAAGCAGTCAAAACGTCGCCATCTTCATATCAAGTGACTACATCATGAGACAAACAATAAATAAACACACCTTTATTAATAAATACACCTTTAATGATTAAAAGTTATAAATTTAGATTTATTAAAAAGTAACACCTTATTTACTTGCTACCTCAAAAAATTGGCATAAATGTTATTAATGGTCAACTAGTATGCTCAATGTACTGATGGTGCATGTGTAGTTGATATAGTTTGTGTACAGTTAAATTCCTAATAGGAAGCTTAAGACATTGAATTAAATGTAACTGAAAATAAAAGTTCTCAGTAAGAATAAAGAGTATATTACTTAAAAGTGAAACTTATATGCTAAAATGTACCTTTCATAAGCTCCCAGATTCAGCAACTTCCTGATATAATCACAGATGGTGGAGTTGTCACCAGGGCAACGTGGAAATCCATAAACACCTGTGAAAAGATACAATTTTAGTCTTACTGGTAATAAATATTATTATTATGCTCACTTTCTGTTCTTCGTTTATGAGCAAAAATTAATAGGTGTGTGACCTCTAGAACCAGTGATAAAGAAACCAGTCTTTCTTGAACAGCCTAGTGGTACGTACAGCAAAAGCTTTGAATAACAACTAAAAGGTTTACTTTTAATTCTGCAAGTTCACATGTGTTTGATTGGCACTAACAATAAGAAGATTCCTTGCATCCCACCTTGATGTTGTCCGCCAAAGCTGATCAGATTCAGCATGGGGGGATTGGGACATCTCTGGGCAAGAGCACGCCTAGAAAAACACAAAAACCATTTGAACAGCACAATTATTCATCAATTTTTTTAACGACAGCCTGGTACTATAAATAATAGGATGAGATACACATTAATTTTTAAGAGTGATCAATGTCAAATTATCTAATAGCTTAGCAATATTTGTTGAGACCTAAAAACTGAGAAGGTACTGTAATAAGTACACTAACCATGAGACCACCGTGCCCAAGTCTTGTATAAAAGAGTATGAGTTCCAACAAAAAGTGGAATCATGTATTTTGTTTCACACAAGACAATATTAAGCTGATCTTAGGAAAATAAATTGCTATTAACTGTTACTTACAAGAACTGTCCACCCTGCGAGAACCCTAGGGCATTGTATCCATCTTTCAACTTTGGATCTGCAGCAACTTTCTCACAAACTTGTTTTATCTGTCATGTTTGCAATATGTGAATTTCAATCAAGTAACAGCTATTATTTTTAAGACTACATTAAATAAAAATAATAAAACATATATATAGAATTAGCAAATACATTGGCTGTGTTCCTATATGCTAACTGAGGAAAATGCTAATTAATTATTGAAACACTGCAAAACTAGTAGGAAGGTAACCAGTTACCTGCTTACATCAGTGTACAATGTACCTAGGAAATTGACCTTGGGACCACTTTATTTCTCTTATAATCTTAGTTTATAGTGATCAGAGTGCAAGTCAGATTACTGATCCACTGTGATACATTGATGTGCAAGCTTAATTTTCAGGCCAGCATTAAAACTACTTGACAAAGCTATCTCAGTCTGACATTGTAGCAAGGTAGACAACACCACCACAGATGGATTGACGGTTCACAGTGTTGATAATGAGAGAGAGATAGGCTAACACATAAATCCAAATCAAGCCTGTACATGTATTACCTGGTCATTTGCATTCATAAAGAAACCATTTTCCATGTCCTAAGAGAACAAAAATACTGCTAAACACCATAGCAAGACAAAAATATTCCTGACCCTATCATTTCCAAAGGATGGATTAACCTATTCATGGCTTTGCAAACACTTATCCAAAGGACAGTGACTTATCCAGTGCAATAGGCCATTTTTTATGTACTACAAATTCTAACTTGGCTCCAAGGCTTTGGGGATAAAACATAAGAAATTTAATTATTCATCCCCCAACGTTGATGTGATATTTTCTGTTTCATTCCTCCAAGCCTTGGAAGCCAAGTTAGAATTTCAATGTATCAAAAATGGCTTATTCCTTATCCATCCTTGGAACAACCAGACCATAATGATCAGTATTTTACATATTAAGACTTCTTGCAATGATACCTCTTTAACCAAGCAGCTGACATTACACTGTTACATGCAGTAACACTAGATCTGTAAAAAGACTGAATGCAGAGTTCCTTGTCAGGGCTTACACCCAGAAAACAGATCCAACAGTACACAAGCTGTTAAGCCACCATGATCCACAGTAACAATGTGCAAACACACATACCTACTATGTGCCAACACACATGAAGAGGATTGATTTGACTCTGACATTAAAAAAAGGTGTTGTACGCTGAAAATATATTTCCAATAGACCATTTTTGTGTTCTCAATATTGGATTGGAACTAGCTTGCAACTGAGGCTAATGCAGGGAGTCTTTTTAAATGTAAAAGATATTCATCTCTTTTTAATGACATTTCCCCGCATGAGCCTCCATTGCAAGCTAGTTCCAGTCCAATACCGAGAATATGAAAATGGCTTATTTATCAGCAACATGTTACCTGTATAATTGAATCACCGATCATCAGGGACCGTACATAAATGCCAGGAATTTTATCTTCCAGCATAGACTTGATGGATCCCATGCTGAGAGGGTTACAGCATGAATCACCTGAAACAAACCACACCAATATTGGACTTGCTACTAACAATTTTCATTGCTACACTGGACGGTCAAGCTCATTTCTACAACATAAATGTAAAGTCCCATCAAAACCAATGTGCGAGATTTAAATAGCTTTGGAAAAGACGATAGACCAATTAACAGGACTGGTGTGGGTTGACCTTGTGTTGATACAGATAAGAACCAGTTGGCATGATTGGCAATAGGCTGATAATTTATCGCACATTTGAAACTTTAGTAACAAAGTTTGTATCATAACAAAGTCAACCCCTAGCCTCCATTTTGTTCAAAGGCCTGACCTCCAAGCACAGAGCCAGGAAATGACTAGAAATGACCATCCAAACTTTTACAGAGTGAAAGAACATTTGCTCAAGGAACCAATTTTCGAACAATATGGGAAGATTATGTAATGTCATGTGCTGTTACGTGATGCACCCCAAGCCAAAATTTCACGGAGTACACCCCTCTCCTGGGTATGTGGGTGAGGTGTTTAGCTCCTCTCAGACTAGTTTAAATATAATATGCATTTCGAGGCAGCTGTTTAAATCATGAGGAGGAGTACAAAGCTAAACATGTTGTATAAACATGCAACTATGAGGAACAAAATACTTTCTCCGTATACTATTACAGAGGGCCGGACTTTAATACCCTTGTGCGGGTATCAAGCTTGCCTAAATTTCTAATTTTCCTTTTCAATTCATTGCTACTGTTTGCATAAAAGGAATAGGGGGTAAAAAGGTTCGTGGAAAACTAGAGATATAAGCTTACATTCCTCCCTAAAAATATAAAGTGCAACAATTTTGATGGAAATTTTCAGCTATCTTCAAAAGGTTTTCGGCTGTTCTGTTAAAATACAAACCCATGCCATGCCACAGTATTACAGGGACTGTTCCATTGCTATTAGCCAAGCAGCAGGTGAAAAGCGAAGCTACAAGAGCAGCGAAACACAGAAATCGTGGCTCCATGGTATTTCGTCGCCTCAGCTGAAGCAGGAAGGAAGCGTCGAAGCGCGTGATCTCGTTCCCAAGCTTCTGTTGGTAATCTAGACTCGCGGGCACTTCTGGGATCGTTTTTGCGGCAATGTTCAAAATCGTCAATCATGGCGAGGCAGAGGCGAGGCAAAAGATCGAGGCAAAAGAGAACTTGCACCCTCCTTGCACCCACCTTACTGCCACTCAGCATTCTTTGGAAACTGACAACACCATAGTTCAATTTTTTCTTTTAAAGTTATTGGAAAATTATTCAGCGATCGCAAAAAGCTGTGCCCCGAACAGCTGTGCTTTCTCCTTCCTGGTGAGCGCTGCTGCAAGGGATGTTCCCGTGGATGTTCACGATGGAATGCGTTAGTCCAAGAAAGACGTCACTTTTTTTATGACCCAGCAATGAGAGATTGCTCCACATAGCGTGAAGCGGTAATCCAGGTACGCGACCGTTGCATGTGAAAATGACAAGGAAACCAATTTAGTGAAAGTCCGGGGGGGGGAGTACTTTGGGAATTTCTGGGTGGGGATGTGCCGCTGGGACCCTGGAACCCTTAGCCTATANTTCAGACAGAAATCAAACCCAACTTCAATCCATTTCAGTCTTACCTAGGTTTGGCAAATAGCTCATTTGTGTCATGCTCTTTTTCAGTAGGGCAATCTAATCACCTAGATACTTGGGTATAATATTAAATGAATTTTCTAAGTAAGATCTATTTTTGAGCCATCATAATTTAAAGAAACACCTTTTTAAGAGCTATTATTTGTTAACAATAGCTTTAAAGATTATTTCTTAAATTTTATGGCTCTCAATGCAAGCTATTTCAATTTTAAATAACAGCTTTTGAAGAATTATTTAAATTAAAGAAATAGCTTTCACATTGTCTTTAAAATTAAGCTACTATTTGTAAATAATAGTATTGACACTGCTATTTCCAAATACTTAGCTTAAAATTTCCTGGCTTTCAATGCAAACTATTTCAATTTCAAATAATAACTTTTAAATTATTATTCAAATTAAAAAATAGCTTTGACATTCTCTTTAAAATTAAGCTACTATTTGTAAATAATAGTATTCAAACTATTATTTCCAAATACTTAGCTTGAAGTTTCCTGGCATTAGCATGTTACCTAGAAGTTTCATTTGATGTTATGACCCAAGTCTGTTTGTGATTTGATAATTTTCTAAAAAAAACGAACAAGACACTAGAACCTGTAGCCAAACCTAGACAACACCTAAACAGACTTTACAGACCTTGATTTCCACTGGGACTTGAGGATGAATAAACAGACCTACTGGCAGAAATGAATCTGAAAATATTCCTCTAGTCATTCTGTCAGAACTCCCTTAAAATTGAACGGTCTTTGTTAACATCAATGATGTCCATGACTTATCCAATACAATAATTAATACAGTTCCCTGGAAAATTATGTATTGTCTCCTTTTCCACTGGTTCCATTGACAGCTCTGTAACTTGATCATCATACCAGATCCACCCAGTAACATGCCCGTTGACTGTCTGCCTTCATCTGTTGTCATGTCTTAAAAAAGAAGATAGAAATCCGGTTGATTAGTGAAGTAATTAAAATTGCAAGTTTATGATCATCACTGTTAACAATTAACCTGGCAAGAATCAGCCAATACATCAGCCAACATACCAGCTGACATTCAGTCTCTTTGGTAGTGCATCTGTGTTTTGTCATCAGCTAGTGCATTTCAGCAGTGTGTCAGATGACATGTTGGCCAAAGATTGAGCAGTGCCTCAATGGGATCGGATTGGTTCCCTTTACCAGGTGTCTCACTAATAACTTCTTGAGTGCAATTGGGATAGTGCCAATTGTGCTCCATTCTTACAGTTGATATCTTTAGATTTTGAAACACCCCCACCCCCCACCTGCTGCTCCAAATCTCCAGTGACCTTGGTTGAGGTTGGTATGAAAATTTCCTGGAACTACATAATGCAAGGAACTTATCAGGAATCTTGAGCTTGAAATAACACATTTTACCTTCACTGAACAATAGCCTGCTCAAGTTTATTGCTTTCATATCATCCTTTCAGGTTGATCTGACTGGTCTGTTGATGTTGATCATCTGTTGTGAGGTTAATGATGGAAGAAACTGCGATCAGCTTGATGACAGGTAAATATATTAGATGAGAGCTCCCAATGTTATCCACTGATGCATCTCTGTCAAGTGTGGATTTGGCACAAAAAGGTACAAAAAATATTGTCAGTTTCATCACAAAAGCGACTACTGGTAATCAGAAATTTGTTAACTGATTTTTGAGTCCAGAAATACATAAATTTGCAAACAATACACAGTATATCTAGGACCAATAAAGGACCAAGCTGGGTTGGAACTCACAGATTGCAGCAGAGCACAATCTAGAGCTAGGGAAAGATTGAGGTGGAGAGAAGATGTTGCAGCCCTATGTGCCATGAACCACAAAGGGGAAAAATGCATCTAGACAATTATTTCAAGTTTCAGCTAACTATTAGAGGGCTTTAAAGGAGAAGGTCACTTCGGAAAATGTGTGTTTTTTTGTCAATGCTAATAAAAACCCTGCACTAAGTGAGGTCATTCACTGAAGTTTCAGCCTCTAAAATACAGGTTTTCCATGTGAAATTTGTCTCCAAAGAAGCCCAAAATTTGACATTGCTGCTGCCATTTTGAACAATACTCAGCGGCCAGGCCACGTTTTTGTGACATCATTCCGTCCAAGACAGTTTGTCCAAATGGCTTCCGACAAGCCTTTCACTACCACTCTGGGCTATGGCTGCTCTGAAGCCGTATTATTTTGGGCCAAACATGCTCCAAACTCTGAAAATGAAAGCAGTGAAGATAGGGAAGTGGATAATCGCTCGTCATTTTACTGACGTTGTGAAGGATACAAAGTCAGTTGCAGGTTTTTCTTTTTCCCACCAATTTCGAGTTGGACGGAATTATGTCTCGTAAACACAGCCTGGCTGCCAAGAACAGTTCAAAATGGCAGACTCCCAAGTAGCTTCTTTCGAAACGAATTTCTTCAGGATAGCAGGCACTTTAGCGGCTGAAATGTTGGTGAGTGAAAAATAAGCTGAATGTTTTCTTGCTACAGGTGAAGACAAAATTATAAGCTTCTTGGAGTGACCTTCTCCTTTAAATACGATTATTTACAAACCATGGATCTCCATCAGAAAATCATACCTTCTTCCTTTTGACTTGTTTTCACTCCCCACCAATGTGTTTTTAGCATTTTCAACTTGTCATTCCTAACAAAATATTGATAGCATGGACTGAGGCTCCAAAAGGAAAGGAATTAAGAGGCAATCCAATTTGCATTTTCCTAGTTTTAAACAACATCAGAGATCAGTACCTTCACATGATGTTGTCCATCTTGACTGTTCTGCATGGGATGTATACTTCAGCCAATGAAAGTTGTTGATCTTATTCAAGGCTGCTTGTTCAATGCATGACATGACTTTAGCCTCTGTGCTTGTCCGACGCGATTGATCAGCTCAGTAACTGTGGCATAGATTCCTCGTCTCTTCTCTGGTTGGCTGTCCTGTGTGACTTCCCATAGTGTAGACTGAATTCTTTTATATACTACCCACTGGCGTTTCTGCTACAAATAGGCCCTAAACAACTAGAAAAACTTTCTAGAACATGCACATTAGTTCACTTTTTGATGATATGTGATGGAAATCCCTTTCATGCAAATTGCCAAACAGTCATGAGTTCAAGTCCCACAAAAGGCTGAACTTTACAGGCTTCCTTCCTGCCAGTGCAATATTACTCCACTACTTTCTTTCATAAACCAGTTTTTATCCCCTTTATCTGGAGTTTCATCAAGGGCTGGGCACTGGCATTGAGAAATTAACAGGCTGTGAGGACAATTTTGCCCACCTGGTTTGTGCAGGTTCAGTTCAAAATGTTTTGGCCACCTGTGAAAATTAGTTACCTTGCCGCTGAAAACATTGATGAAACCCCTGGTTTATGTTTTCACAAGGTGTCCAAAGTGGTTTTTTAACTCATTAAGTTTTCCACTTTCTCAAGAGAATTTGCATCTTTTGCATTCCTTGTATATTGGATGCCTTTTGTTTTGTTATACTACACCTGCTTGGTCACAATGGATCTCTTCTGTGATGCTGATGTACAAGGAAGGCTGTAGTCTGGATGGCTGACTAACCATTGTGGTAACTGGTCAAGGTTAGTGTGAAATGCAAATGGTGTTTAACTCTCCTTAAAACAGTTGACTTATGTTTCCATCACCGCTGAAAAATGGTATAAATTAACAATTTCATTTTAATTCCTTCAAAGACAATTGACTTACGAGTGCATCTATGGGCTTATGCACTGCTGAAATCGGTGTGTTTGATTAAAAGAAAATTGATTCCAATACAGACAATTGACTTATGCTTGGGTCATTATTCTTTTGAACAACATACACTCATGCTGAAAAGTATTGATATAAGGAATCATTTTTCAATCCTCCTCAGACATTTCATTTATGTTTGTATTATATATGCTCTACTGAAAAGGACATTGAATTTTTCTGTTTCCACAGACTGAGACAATTGAACCATGTCTGCTTCATTTGGTATGATTTTAATTGAATGTCCAACAGACAGTTGACTTCTATCATGGAAATTCTTGTTGCCAGAGCTCCTGTCAGTATTGTAAATTAGTTAGAATATTATTTTGACTGCTTTACCTCTTCTTCCTTTTACATCAGAGTATCTGTTTCCTCTTACCTGAACTTGACTGACATTAAGTAGGTAGTCTGCAAACTAAAACAAAAATGTAAATATCTTTGCCACATTGTTTGAAGTATATGACTTACCTTGTCTGATGAAGGAAGTATTGTTTGTAGACCTCTTGTCCTCTCTCTGTTTCTTCATATGTTAGCTTTCATGACATCATGGTGGTGACAAAACTTGCCTACAAGATCTGGATTAAACGTATTGGTTAGAAATTGCATCATTGTTTCAGATTTTAGCGTTTGTAAAAAACAAAACAAAATGTTATGACAATGCTCCTGAAAATGAGCTAGTCCCCGAAAATGGACCGGTTCACTAAAAATTTGATATTTTGACTTTGTCTTTTATTGGCCAAATTTGTCATCACCNGACAGACAACTTTATGACTTTATTCCTTCTCTTCTTCTTTGAAACTGTCAGCAATTAGACTTTCTCTTTCCTTGTATTACGTCCCAGGCTTTGAACAACAGCATAGTAAAAAACAAGCATGCAAAACACTGAATACCTCCACGAAATGTCACATAAATGGCGGCAATGTTGTTCATCTGCATGTTCATCTGGGATTTTGAAGGTGACTTACTGCTGGGCAATCTCAAACAAATCTTGGCGTGTTTCTTTCAAAAACTAAACAATGTCCCTTCCCTACTGGACAAAATTTTTGAAAAATGCACCATTCCCTGCATGTTCCTGAGGTTTCTCTAGGGGTGTCCTGGGGATCAACCCCCAGGAAAGCCAATGATTAGTGCATTATTTATGTCAGACTTTCTCCACTAAAATGGTCGAAGACAGTTAATTGCTGTCAATTCTCTCGGCATGGTTGGCTTCTCATCCTCGTCTTCCTCTGGCTTAACCCCCAAAGGGGTGCATTAATGTGCACAAATTAGAAATAAAGACAAGAAAATTGGTGCCATTCATTACTTTATTCTAACATAGTATGAAAAAAAAACTTAATATGTAGCAACAGAATTATTTTAGTGTGACAGATCTTGTGTACATTCAACTGCTAACAAAGATGACCAAATACCTGTATAAATCAACTGGGTTTTAGAAGTGCTGACATGCAAAGTAAATACCAAATTGACATTCTGTCGGCAAATTGAGTTTACAGATTATTGGTCATCTTTAACATTGAATCAGATGTATACAAAACTTTACACTGTAGTAAATTTGGACAAGTAGACTATTTTTATTTTCACAATAAAGATCACAACAGAGGAATGTCCCTATCAGCGATAAACCAATGATGTATTGCCAACTAAGAAAACAATAGATTACATACAACCACTATTTCACTATTTGTTCATGGCTAAGCAAACTGAGCATGGTTATAAACATCACATTTTAATTCTATTTTTACTTCACAAGAGAAATAGAAAGCGGTCGTGTTGTGTTTTTATAGCTTGATACAAACGTTCGATTGGGTTTGAAAAAACTTATCTAAAGGGCCAACCCAACCTGGTAGAACCCCTGACCCAGTCCCTGTCCCCCAAATCCAAACCTCTGTCCAAAATCCAAGCCCCCCGTCCCCCAACTCCATACCAGTCACCAAAATTCAAAGCCCTTTCCCCCAAATCCAATACCCTTTCACCCAACTCCAAACCTTTTCCCCCAAATCCAAGCCCCATCTCCCAAATCCAAGCTCCCATCTCCCAAATCCAAGCCCCCAATCTCCCACATCCAAACCCCTGTTCCCCAGATCTGAGCCTCATCCCCCCACAACTCCAAACCCTTGCCCCCCCCCTCACACCTAAATAGTAAGTTCACTCAAACTTCCTCTTGAGTTTGTATCAAGCAAATTAAACATGAACATGTACAGTACCACACATATTCTATTTCTTTACATACCTTTTGACTTTCAGATTTAGTTTAAAACACTAAATTAGAAAAATACAACCAACAAAAACGCTGAAACTTGAGGAAAATCTTAAAATTAAAAAAATTGTCATTGTTGTTGTTGCAATGGTCAGCACTAGATGATCTCGTCATATACAGGAAATCATTTTTCTCACCCAACAATGAATTGTACTGCATGCAGTTCTTAAAAATAATATTGATCCTGTCTTTTTGAACATAAGGCAAGTCACACAGAAATGGTTTAGATTTGGAGTGACTAGCTGTCAGTAGTTCATCTAGTGACTTTATCAAATGGTCAAGAATAGTCCTGAAAAGGGTGGTTGATGCTGACTGATAGGTTTGAAAAGCCTGAGCAGAAGTCTTCCAGACAACTTCTGCTGACATTGTTGTAATATCAGTCACCAGCAACAGTCCCTTTCAAGGCTATGTTTGCCTGCGTGATTGTGCAAGTTCAACTTAGCTACACTGCGATGTGCTGTGATGATCATCTGTCTGTCATATAGACTTGAATTTTAGACCAAAGTGAATCATAGCATTGCTAACATTTTCTGCTTTGACTTGAATGGATATCAAATTTGTTAATCTTCTATTTTAGTTCTTTTAATCTGAACTCAGGAACATCAAGAAGTCTCCATATATTAATATTAATAATTAACTATAATAATTGTGGTAATTAAGCATGTTAAGTTACTGGTTAGGGTTATGTGTCAAGATTAGTTCAGCTTACCAGTAGTAAATGAAAGAAAGAGAATTCTACATGTCCCAAGTTCAGGATTTCAATTACTAATATTTAGTATTTCAATGTTCCCGACATTCAAAACTTTTGATTCACTATTTTGAAAATAATTTAAGAATGATCATAGCTGAATTATAATTCGAGACTGAAGTCTGAAAATCTCTCAGGTTCAGACAGAAATCAAACCCAACTTCAATCCATTTCAGTCTTACCTAGGTTTGGCAAATAGCTCATTTGTGTCATGCTCTTTTTCAGTAGGGCAATCTAATCACCTAGATACTTGGGTATAATATTAAATGAATTTTCTAAGTAAGATCTATTTTTGAGCCATCATAATTTAAAGAAACACCTTTTTAAGAGCTATTATTTGTTAACAATAGCTTTAAAGATTATTTCTTAAATTTTATGGCTCTCAATGCAAGCTATTTCAATTTTAAATAACAGCTTTTGAAGAATTATTTAAATTAAAGAAATAGCTTTCACATTGTCTTTAAAATTAAGCTACTATTTGTAAATAATAGTATTGACACTGCTATTTCCAAATACTTAGCTTAAAATTTCCTGGCTTTCAATGCAAACTATTTCAATTTCAAATAATAACTTTTAAATTATTATTCAAATTAAAAAATAGCTTTGACATTCTCTTTAAAATTAAGCTACTATTTGTAAATAATAGTATTCAAACTATTATTTCCAAATACTTAGCTTGAAGTTTCCTGGCATTAGCATGTTACCTAGAAGTTTCATTTGATGTTATGACCCAAGTCTGTTTGTGATTTGATAATTTTCTAAAAAAAACGAACAAGACACTAGAACCTGTAGCCAAACCTAGACAACACCTAAACAGACTTTACAGACCTTGATTTCCACTGGGACTTGAGGATGAATAAACAGACCTACTGGCAGAAATGAATCTGAAAATATTCCTCTAGTCATTCTGTCAGAACTCCCTTAAAATTGAACGGTCTTTGTTAACATCAATGATGTCCATGACTTATCCAATACAATAATTAATACAGTTCCCTGGAAAATTATGTATTGTCTCCTTTTCCACTGGTTCCATTGACAGCTCTGTAACTTGATCATCATACCAGATCCACCCAGTAACATGCCCGTTGACTGTCTGCCTTCATCTGTTGTCATGTCTTAAAAAAGAAGATAGAAATCCGGTTGATTAGTGAAGTAATTAAAATTGCAAGTTTATGATCATCACTGTTAACAATTAACCTGGCAAGAATCAGCCAATACATCAGCCAACATACCAGCTGACATTCAGTCTCTTTGGTAGTGCATCTGTGTTTTGTCATCGGCTAGTGCATTTCAGCAGTGTGTCAGATGACATGTTGGCCAAAGTATTGAGCAGTGCCTCAATGGGATCGGATTGGTTCCCTTTACCAGGTGTCTCACTAATAACTTCTTGAGTGCAATTGGGATAGTGCCAATTGTGCTCCATTCTTACAGTTGATATCTTTAGATTTTGAAACACCCCCACCCCCCACCTGCTGCTCCAAATCTCCAGTGACCTTGGTTGAGGTTGGTATGAAAATTTCCTGGAACTACATAATGCAAGGAACTTATCAGGAATCTTGAGCTTGAAATAACACATTTTACCTTCACTGAACAATAGCCTGCTCAAGTTTATTGCTTTCATATCATCCTTTCAGGTTGATCTGACTGGTCTGTTGATGTTGATCATCTGTTGTGAGGTTAATGATGGAAGAAACTGCGATCAGCTTGATGACAG